TAAACAATATATATAATATATGAAATAAAATAAATTATTCTGGTCCCACAGGCACCAAAACTGTAGTTTGTATGCCACCTTTACGTAATTCACCACCATTTACAGCAGCCTGTTCTGCAAGGAATTCGGTCCCAGAAGAAACATGCCAGAACTTATTCCCATGCATTGCTTATAGGGCAAGCAGTCATTGCATGGTGTAACTCACCTATTAGAAAGTTAGATTTAGATGTTGATTGTCCATACTGCTGTTCCATATACTTTGGTTTGTAAGTCAAGAAACCAATAAAACTATTGAACTGTAACAGCGAGCAACACAAAAGTGTAACGTACATTGGATTACTCAATACTTTTTTCAGGGAGGTATAGAAATCTGAAAGAAAGGGATATAAGAGTTGGCTTTGAAAAATGCAAAATCTTTCTTTCAGCTGTCCAAGTGCAAGTCATACTGATTTTCATTTGCATATGATTATCTCTAAACAAAATTAGGTTCTTGAAAAACACCGGAGGTTGAGATATCAGAAGAGAGTCCTAAAAGCAGATGGAAGAATGGGTTAAGATCTGGGTGCTCTAGTGAGATCTGCACATGAAGTCTAAAGGGCCACACACCAAAGACTTCCTCCAGCTTACACGAGTATTACCACAGTTTCAAGGCTAGGCGAAAACTGCCTTTGTGGAGATGCCCAGCGTCTGCACAAAGATGGGAGAATTTGACTACTGATGCAAAGCCATCTCTTTGCACCAGCTTTCCACTCCTTTCTCAGCCTAAGAACTAGCGAACCAGAACTGATATTCTGATATTCTGATATTCTGCTGTATTCTCCTCAGGCAGCAATGTGCTTAAGAGTCTCCAGGAGTTGTATGTGACCAGACAAATAATTTGGCTTTTCATATTACAAAAGGAGCCTTCTAATATTTTCTTTCGGTCCTGATACAGAATTTATCCTCTGTTTGAATTTCTTCTAGCACAAAATTTTAGAGGCAGGTGCCATTCAGGTGATGATGCATTGTGAGTGATGCATGCAGAATCTCACAGCCTTGAACAAGTTCTTTGACTTTTAATACACTTTAAAGGATCCCTCCTTTCCAGGGGACAACTAACTGGTTTAGACCAATGTGCAGGAGAGGCAAAATATTTTGCAGAACCATTACCTTCCCACTGAACATTGTGCCTACTGCTTTTCACATTTATACAAAGTGCGAAACACTTGCCTTTCAGTATTACTGACCACTTCGTTGGCTTAGTTTTTGCAGGAGCAAGTATCTTCTTTGTGGTACCCATGTTTTCCAAGAGACCGTATGAAGTCTTGTCATTATTGGCTTCCTCTGGCTTTTTCAGGCTCTTTGGCAGGAAACAAAATGGAATAGCAGCCAGGAAACTGCTTACTCCACCTACTAAGAAACCAAGCCACCACGCACCCACCCAGCGGGAATCCTGTGGGGTGATAGTGATGCTTCCTAGAATTGTGGGAAATAGGTCCAAGTTACCTAAATGAAGAAGTTGAACCTTTCCATCTTTTATCTGCCAAAATAGCTACATTTTCAGATGTCTGACTTTCAGTGGTAATGATAACAATGTAATTAGAGACCATCCATGCAGTGAAGGCATCAGGAATCATACTTTGAATTGTGTTAGGCTTCATCTGCTTCTCTATCTCTTATGTTGACTGTTGTTTTGTGGCATACATGGCAACACAGAGGTCCTTATCCAATGCACAGAACAGCAAAATAGGTGGCATACAGGCCCCAAGCATGGGATCCTTTCAGGGCTGATATATTTCTCCTGAGACTATCCTCTGCTAACCTGAATCGTGTAGGTTGCTACTAAGCATATGGGTGTTCTCTGTGACATCATTGAAATTAAATTTTGTATTTTAAGGAAGATGAGAGCATTTAATTTTATTTTTATGATTGTTATGTGCTGGTATGTTTGGTGATGGTGGACCAACACTGTAAGAATTTTCACTGTGTGACCAGCACTGGCTCACTGTCCATACACTCAAGTAATTTTGCTTAACAAAGGGCAAAGACAAAAGAGTTCATCTATCTAGCCACAGTATCCTGAAGATCTGAAAACTTCTTTGTCCTGCTAGTAAAACTGGATCACCCACTGCTGCTATTACAGTGGTACTTTTCCAAGAAAAGCTGTCACTAGTCCCTACTGCTCAACTCCCCTTCAGGCTTGTCTGATGGGTGGGGAGCTGGACTGGCCAGGAAACACCACCTCAGAGATGTCTCCTGTCACTTCCAGTGACAGGGAGACAGATGAAGGACCACAGCCACCACCTATGGGGATTACTATGCCCCTTCAGACGTGTTGCAGATGTAAACACACACACGTGGATTTTTTTCCCAGCTGAATATGCAAGGGCTGGCAAAAAGTGCGTAATGCAAACCTTATGTGAAGTATAAATAATGTAAAATGCTAATCTGAAAGCGTGAGTAATCCACTAAAACTGTGGAACTGCTATGCTAGCAGAATCCTTTCACTAGGATCCCAGTTTAGTGAAGTATCTTGGGTTTGTGGGAGTTCTTGGTACTAACTTTTGAAGTTTAAATGTATGTTTTAATTCTTTAACCTTGAAACACAATTCTAAATTACATTCCCTGTTTAATTCTACCTTTACCATAAAAGCTTCCAGTAATTTAACAAAATTGTACTAAAACATATAATAAAATTAATTAAATAAAAGTAAAATTAAAATTATATTAATACAATCAATATAATAAAACTGTATGCAACCATGTAGAGGAACCTGTTACAAACAAGGATTAACTTACTTTCACTTTTCCTCTGCTTTGCTTACCTAAATCCACAAATCCAATATCCACGTACAGTTTTGCACATAAAGATCCCAAGAGGAAACCAAACATTGGGCCCATCATGGCTATGGTGTGCAAACATGCTGAAAGTATAAGGAAACAGTTACTAGTATGTTTTAACACCTAAATGTTTTTTTCTGCAGACGATGACTGACCTCTTAGACTATGAATCTCTCGATTGAATACTTTATGTTGAGATTACCTACATACACAGGAACATCCTCTTCTTTAGCAAAATCATCAAGATAAGAGATGCCCAATGGTGTTATTGGTGTCTCACCAATTCCGCGTAACATATTTCCCAGTAAGATATATATCCACATATATGATGATGGTTCCTTCTCACAGCCTGCATATGAGAGTTTAAATCTTTGTAATAGGATAGTTGAATGGGAAACAGTGACAAATCACAAGAGATTCAGCACGTGAAATTATTAAAATTTAGTATTTAGGGTATTAACCATATTTTACTTATGGAAGATTAATGAAAGGCCATCAATCTCATTATACCTTTTAATAATCTTCCGATAACACTTTCCTCTACCTACATTATATTTGGCTTCTAAAAATACAGGTAAGTATCACCCATCAGAAAAAATGCCTGTTTAAAAAAAATTGCAGATCAATATTGTCACAAATATATTACCTGGCATATAATATATATTTTTAACATGACAAGTTTGAGATGGTTTCTGGGGCACAGCTTGGCTCTTTCTCTATGTCCCATGAAAATCAACGTGCAAAACAGCTGTATCCCATATGGTAAGATCATAGAAAACTCTATTTATTTCCTGCTAATTTTGTGCAGTTTCATCTCATGCTATCTCTTTCACCTCCCCACTCCAGGTCCTTGGTAGCTGAGTCCCTTCAAACACAGTCTCAGCATCAGTGATTTTATTGTAATTTGGAAGTGTGGAGATAGGAAACTGGGGATTTGAATCTTTATAATTTGTGTTTGCTGGAGGTTTGTTTTTCAAATGAGATGCACAAAGTGCATTTGAGTATCGGCGACATCCTCAGACAGGCAAAGACTGAAGTCAGAAATATAACTCAGCATCTTGCACGCTACTACTACTTGCAACTAAGGATAAAACTGGGTCTTGTGTTTGTACTTGCACTTACAGTTCCTCACCTGATCGGGAGACTTCCAACAAGGTTTCATTCATATCCTGATGTAGGGAACACGGATTTATGCTTGAAGTTAAGTTGGCTGAAGAAGCTGTATGTGATGCTGTCTCATACTTATAACTGAAAATACACAACACTAGTTTTAGAAGCAGTGTTCACTAGGGAAATACGAGTGTAGTAGGCCAGGAGCCACTTGACTGCTGTTTCCCTAAAGAGAAAGGTATCTTTGTTTAAATATCAATACAAAGTCAAAATTTTGAATAGTCAAAAAAGACTGTTCAAGTACATTTTTTAAAACTAAAATGAAAACTAAATAGAAGTTGGAATCATCTGTTTAGAAGACGTGTCATTTTAAGCTGGAAAATTCCAAAGGGTTTCTGAAAGTAGTTCAGATAATGAAATTTCGGTGTCAAAATTCAGGGTCAGATCCAAGTGAGCTCCTTCTGAGGGTCTATAGGCCTTTGGAAATCTAAGACTTGATACACACAAAGTTTCACTGAAAAAAACATAAAGCAGCATCCAATTCCAATGTTAGGTTATCCAAGTTAATCTTGATTAGGACTTACTATCCCATGAAGAAATGAGGCAATGCTGTTAAAATGCTTCCCAAAGCCATAGTAAAGCATCCAGCAGCTATTACTTTGGGCCTATGAAGTTTAGCTCCAAAGTAGCTTACAAATGCAATCACCAGCAAGTTACCTGGAATGTAATGAATCAAAATTAGTGCCAGATATTGTGCCTTATATTTCTCTGACCAGTTTTACGCATATTACAGAATATCAATTACCTATCTCAAAGCTCCCATCAATGAGACCAACAGTAGATGATGTCAGGTCAAACCTTCGTTCAATCTGAGTGATGGAACTTTTCATAATTGTACCAGACAGTGTTTTACTCAAGTAGCTGAACGACAATGCAGCAAGAAATACCTGAGGAAAGATTAGCATGGAAAACAGGAAGCAGAGGCAGAGAAAGTGGTCACAGAATGATCAAGCAAGTTGAAAACTGGGTGGACCAATCATTAGCATGGTATCTGTTTTTTTCTCAAATTGCAGTGACAGTGGTGTGCGTGAATTTTCATGTACCCGAAAGCTAAGGAGCACCAGGTCAGTCTTTCAGTGTCTGCTCCTGCTCTGATTTTCCCCTCTGCAGGGGTTGGTGCTCGGTGCTGTGCTGAGAGCAGGCGCTGGCTTCTGGGTTCAGATTTGCAATTACTAACCAGGAAGCCCCATCCTTCCTGCATCGCTGGCCATAGGTTTTCAAAAGCAGAAAACCTATGGACTGCAGAATTTGTGGGACAGTGGAAATGGTAGGATTTCTAGACGTGGTAGAAATATAAAATTTGCCAGAGGTAAAATAATCAGGGTGGTTTTACTGATACTAGTCCAACCTAAAATTAATCATAAACTTGATTATCTTCTGCTTGGGCCACATGTAACTTATTTTAACATAGTTCATAACTGGCTCTAATTCAAACACATAGATAGCCATGGCATCAAAATAAAGGCTTTATGCAGGTTTTTATACTATCTCAGACTGATTGAGTTCATCTCTCTCTCAAATGATAATTTCTGAAATGTGTGAATCATGGCTATGTCACCCATATATCACATATCTCGTGAGGAAAAGCTTAATGTTCTTTATGATTTTATACTTGTTTTCACCAACACACATTATGGCTTTTGCAAATAAAGATATACTTCATAAAAGGTTAAACTAAGTTTGTTTAAATATTATCCAACTATTTCAACATAGTCAAAAACCAAATAGACTTATTGCTCACTGGGTAAAAGTTCCAATACAACACAATGTTGGGTAAGTAAACAAAGGTAAATATAGATTTAGACTTTGAAATACTATCTACTGGAAAGAATAACAACAATTAGGAAAGCAAAAGCTTGAAAATAGGTATGTTCATTCTTTTTTTTTTTTTGTCTGAGATATGTTTTATATCTCCAGAGCTTGCTTGGCAAAATGTCTGCAAGAACCACTTTTCTTGACTTATGCCAGTGCTCTCAGAGGCTTTGGCTGAAATCACAAACTTCTGATAAATATGTGATCACAAACAAAAATGACTTGGGTATTTTGAGTTTGAAAATGCAATCCTCAGGTAAACCACAGAACATTTGCCTTTTATTACCTCGAAGGTATGTGTCTAACAAACTAACTGACATTGATCTGCACTCATTCAGTGTTGCCTGCTTACATGATGGTGAAGTTAGTCCTGTGAGTCTCCCAGAGAGATCAGATTCTATTTTTGCAGGTGTACATGGGTGGCAAATGTGAGTCATAAAGTAAAAAATTAAAATAACCTTTGCCTGATACTTGAGCCAAACTATTTTGGACGTTTGAGAAGCTTGCAATTACCTCTTTTTTTCCCCATTAATCTTTCATTTTACAGACCTTATTATAGAGTCAAATATGTTCTTGACTGCAACTTCACTGAGCTTATGGAATTTAACCCAAGATGGAGCTGGCCGAAGAAGTATTCAAAATATAAGCCCAAACACATCACTATCAAAAGAAATCTTGCCTTTGTAGTATTTGCAGTTCAGCCAAAAGCAATAAACACAAAGATTTTAACACAAGAGCAAAGTTCTTGTTAGTTTACTTGTTTTGTTCTATCAATTCTTTTTGTGTGCTCCTGAAAGCTTGGATGCTTGTGGGAATCTGCGGCCTGTTTGATCTATGGCCCTGGATTAGAGAAAAGCCCTAGAATGCAATTTACCTCACCCTATTTTGGCTGTACAAGAATGGGTGCTGATAGCAACCTCCAGACCTACTTTAGCATGCTTCAGGTCTTCCACTGGAGGTTGCTACCTCTCCCCAATGACAAAAAGGGGATCTACCTATGAGTAGCTGGAGAGTAAATATGTTGAATACAAAATTTTTATTTTCTTTAGGACAAAATCCAAGCCTTCAATGTACCTCCAGTGCATATCCATTTCCAGAAAAATAAGAGGTTACAGAAATAAAGCAATCTGACATGTCATACCTTGAACAACATTTTTTAACATATGGAAATATTAATTTGTAGTGATATTGATACGGCAACAAACCTTCAAGCCAGTGCAACAGGAAGTCTTCTTTTTGACTGGCAGATTTTTATCTGCTTCATCATCCAAAAGCTGGGCAGGTTCTACTTCCTGGTTTGAGCCATGGGCACTGTTGGATTCAGTTTCCACTGTCATGGTTGATTTCTTTACTGAGTGATCTGAACCCAAGAGAAAAGAATAATAAATATAAAAGCAAATATGCCAACACAGAGTTGCTTAAGGACTTTTCTGATGAAACAGTAGTTACAGGAAAATGCTGAGATGTTGAAACTGAATCTTTTTATTGGAAAGCTCAATGGCTTGGGTGTTTCACAGTGTATATTTGTTTAGATTCTGAAGTATCTTGTTTCGACATCTTTGTTTTCAAGTGAAATGTTCTTTACTGTCCCCACTCTCTCCTTTTTCTTATCTAGAATGACTTTTAATGCTAAAAAGACAACTTCTACAAAAGAATAAGAAACAAAGTCTCTGTTCAAAAATAAATTAGAGGGGTCAACAAAGCATCAGTGCTGAAGCACAGCACTAGTCCTAGTGAAACTCTAAATGGGCCGGCCACATGGCTTAAGACTCAGTCATCATTTTGATAAGATCCCTGTAGTAACACCATGGCACCTGAACTATTCCTTCACACTGGCCTGTCAGAAACAACTCTTAATGACAAAAGAAATTATTTTAGCTACATGACCTCCTGTAGGGAAGTTATATATTTTTTCTTCTTGCAATAATATACAGGGTATCCCTAATCCACTTCTGCTTGTGGAGTGTTGTGCATATCCCCTGATACATGAAATTATCTTCAACTCAGCAGTTCAGCAGAAACACTCCAGTTCACCTGGGAAGAGCACACTTTGTAGCCATAGAGGACAATTTTTTCCTTCTCTTTGTTGTATTTTTTATTGTTTAAAGCCTTGTTTCACAATTAAGTTGAGTTTTGTTTTATTGCAATGAATATCACAACCCTGCTCAGTTTTTTAATATTCTATTTCTGAGAGATAACTAAGCAATAAAAATAATACTTCAGTGAAAAGCTGTAAATGAATTCTATGTATCTATCTGTAAAGTTTATTTAAAGAATGAAAACACTTGCCTCTTTGTGCAACTCCAGCTACACACAGAACAGAATTCTGAAGGTAGATCCAGATGCCACTGCAGAGCCCCTCAGAAAAAAATGGGTCATTTGAAACACACCTTCTTCAGATCTGCATATCTTGACACACAAGGGTGATAGAAATAGTGAAACTAGTAACCCCAACTCAGAAATCATAGTTCACAGGAACTCATTTATTTCACCTTTCACAATAGTCTCCTCTTTCAAAAATGGTGAAAAAGAGAGTGTGGGGGGAGGAACTACACAAAGAGTGCTTTTCCATGCTTGAATGGAGCTGAAAAAGGTTGGATGAACTTTTCCAATGCTGGAAAAAGTCCATATGCAATTGCAAATTACTCTGCTAAAAGACATATGTCAGAGAAGTACTTGTCAGAATATTTAAAGGATAGGCATTGCTCTAATGCAAAATGAAGAAGAATATTTTTCTGGACTTAGATGGAAGAGGATTAATACTTAAGAATATTTAAGACAAACAGGTAGATATTTAAACAACTTAGGAGTTTATTTTGCCTAATTTCACAAGCATTTCCTTAGTTTCCACTGCTGGCATGAATAACTCCTTTCCCACTGCTCATACCTGCTTCCCACACTCTTCACTCATGTGAGTACCACTGTATCTGTGGCTGTGCTGGGTCAGGATATATATCTGGATGAAAAATACCTTTTCCTTCCTCTTGGCTTTTCAGACAGATAGGAATAAGAAGTATAGGAAAGGATTTCCTCAAGTCTACACAAATACCAACAGAAATGCTTCTGATGTGAGTTTCTTGGCGCTCAGAAAAAGTTAATACAGAAATACTTATAAGGATCTAGTCCTCTGAAATTTATCTGTCCCTGTGTAATCTGAAGATACTAGTTTCTTCCTGTTATTATGATACATTAATGACTACAATAAGATGTTGGGGGTAGCCTGTCATTGAAGTTCACAGAATTAAAGAGGTATCTTTTTTTAGAAGGTACAAGGTGACTTAGAATCTGAATATAAGGAGAGAAAGAACGAAGGCAGAGAAATGTGAAGATAGAAATGAGGCAAAGCACAGAAAAGAGAAAGGCGGCTAGGTATCCATACATGTAACTGAAGAAGTTAAGATACTAGCAGGCTATCCCAGTAAAGGTCCCAGAGAAAGCCCCTGAAAGCACAAGAAGGGAGGACACTCAAATTGAAAGTATGAACAGTATCAAAGAGCAGGTTAAGCAGTTAGAGGCAGATAACGAAAAAAGCATCCAGAGACAGAAGTTACGGTACCAGTCAAGATAAAGGATTAAAAAAAGAAAAGAAAAATGAAATAAAATTCAGCCTCTAGGTGGCAAAAGCTAATTGATACACATAGAAAAGTGTGAAGGCAGCTAGAAGGTGGCAGTTAGTTGGCTCAGCACTGTTAGTACTGAGCTCCTTCAGTGACCCAGGGGAAGGATAAGAACAGGGATGACCAGCTCCTGTCAGCGGTGAGTTACAGGGCTTACAACTGCTTTGCAAGGATGCTACTGAAGAAGGTGATACTTCTGCTTGTGGAAATACAGGATGGGGAAAGGAAATGAAAAGATGATGCAGCCTGTGCTGGAGAAATGTTAGGGCACACTAAGTGAGAGTATCAACAGTTGGAGCTGCTGGCAGCATCTCCCATCCTCAGTTGACCCTGACCTACATGGAAACCTTTTGGAGATAGAAGAGATTGGGGCTGGGGAAATGCCATGACACAAAAAGATTAGACAAAAAAAGATAAAAGGTCAGTTCACAACTGATGTTGGCATACATTAGCTGTTCACCCTCACAGTTTCAAGTATTGATGAAGTTGCTATTTTAGATATATTCCACTAGTGGGTTTTTTTCCATGCTTAATAAATCAAGGATGTGGTTGCCAGCAAAGGAAAAGTATGAAGCTTTGTGCAACAAATATATTCATTCAGTTATATGGTTTCTCCAAAACAATTATATTTTGCCTGCACAAACCATTTTGCTGTAGTAATGACCTGAGGTAGGTGCATTTGCAGAAGGATGCTATTAGTCAAATAATTGTTTAGGTAGTCACCCAACCAAAACAAAAATCACCGTGACTTCCTTTCTGAGGGAGGAAAACAATCCTCCTCCCCAAAGCATACATAAGGAAAAACATCCCTCCAAAACATGCCAAGTCATACTGCGAGAAGTCTCCTAGCTGACTTTTGCATCATACCCTGGGAGCATTTGACAAACAGCTATTACACTTGTTTGGTCCCATGCTCAATATAGTCTCTTCTGAGAAAACTTTGAGTGGGGGAAGATCAAGGGTCTTAACGAATAATCACTGTGGATTATTCATGTTAGTGTGAGCTGGGAGCTTTCATAGCATCATGGGAAACTTGTGACACCTTGAAAATCCATTCCAGTACAGCAGCCAGCCTTGGAAAGGACAGCTGCAGACTTCTTCCTTCAGTGCTTCAAGGTGTATGATCTTAGAGGGACCAGCCTTAGCTATGCCTGTCAGGTAGATCTACTCCTTAAATAACAATAAAATCATTCAAGCTTGGTTTTCTACCCACTAATTATATGCAAATTGCAATGAATAAGAGCACCAATTTAAACACCTTAGCATGAGTAACCAGTAATTAGTATACAAAGGACTAGACAATATTTGCTACAGATTTTGTAGACTCTTATGAAATAAAAATACAATGAAGTTTGATGAATTTTCAGACACCAACACAGACACTGCAAGTCATTGGGCTGCTCAAGTCATTGGTTTGCAAGTCATTGGGTTGTGTTCTCAGCAGCTATATCACCACTCAATAGACTACCATATCACAAATGAAGAACCAGATTTCACCCAGTAGTTTATGGAACTGCATTGATTTACACCAATTGTAGTATTAGTCTAATTGTCTTATTAATTTTTAAATACATTAAAGAATAACAAGACCAGTTAATGTAATATGAGAAATGAATCTCTCAGTTCAGTGCAGGTCTAAATGTTGCTTGCACTGTTTGTATATGATACTTACTGTTCAGAGACACATATACAAATATATGATGCCATCATTAAAGTATTGACATTTACAACAAGAATGTTACTTGTGTTCTGGTCACGGGACATACAACGAGCGCTACACAGGTAACATTCATTAGCTGCAAACACTAAATGCCAACATTTTAAGGTTAAGACAAACAAATACCAGAGAGGTTCCTACCTATGTTCTGTATCCACAACAGCAGTTATACTACCATACAAATGCTCAGAAGTCTGAGTATTCTCTCCTTAAGCAAGTCTGTTCTGGTGCTTGGTAGAAGAATCATTAACTTCTAACACAAACTATGGTTTAGGCAGTTTTAATCTTGTCTCCTCCCAGTTCCGCCCTCTGTTAAAGGTCCCAAAATGCATGTTTATCCACATTGGTCAAAAATTAAATGGATAGAAAATATGTAAGGGTGTTCCTTCTGCACACTCTTGTGAAACACCTTTTTTTTTCCTGAGCTTGTCAAAATTATAATACTTCACACCTTCCTGGCATTTAAAAATGAGGTATCCCAACTTTAGAAATGCTTCTGGTTACTGATAGCTAAAACATGTTTCAGTATGAATTTCTATTTTCATAGTCTATAGCTAAAGTCCATTCTGCTAAAACCTCTTAGAGCCAGACAAGGTCTTGCAGGAAGAGAAAATACAATGCCTTGGATACTTTGAACATACTGTGTGTTCAAGAAACACTCATGCTTAGAAGACTGTTCAGATTTATAGGTCAGTGCTATTAACAGCATGTGCGAACCAAATGTGAAAGTATATTGCGGCTATGTGTACTTTGGAGCAGCCCTTTACCTGGTTACAGCTCTAGTTCAAGGAAATCTGAACTGGCTTCTGAAAGGCATTTTATTTGATTGTGCCCTTGTTGTGGATTATGCCCGATTCCTGAGAAGGACAGTGGTTAAAGGAGAAGCCGTTCTTAAAACATGTGAACTATGACTACTAAATGTTACACCAAAATGCTCCATTCCTTGCAGTTCATGTGTCTTTCTCTGCCACCATGTCCACTCCTCTACTTGATGTGAACAATTACAGCCTACTTAATGCTGACCTTTGGATAATCTTATTCAAATTTTGCCTTTGTTACTGTTATCTTGCACTGCTGACAGCTTTCCAAAGCTATACATCAGGGCAATTCAACTACAAGTAGTAGAATTATAAAATAAGAATGCAGGAGGAATCCAGATCACAAATCCAGTCTGCAAACTCAAGAGCGTCTTTTGTGAAGAGATCACATCCTGACATGAGAGCAATAAGAATTGCACTTCCTCTCACTCCCTCTAGTTCTAAGTCTACTGTAAAGATTGGTCTTTCAACACATAGGTATCTTCTTTTGATTTCCAGTCATAATCAAATTATATTCTGACTTTCAATCAACAAGATGTTTAGCTGTAGAAGCTCTTCCTCTCAGTCTGATACTTCAGACTCAAGCTTGATCATAACTGGAGAGAGTACAGGTTTTCAACCTGTATTACTAGGTAAACAAGCTAATCATGCCTAACAATTTCTGGGAAAATACACTCTCTTAGTTCCCCAGGACATCCTTAGAGCCCTTGGCTACAGTGTTTTCTATCTGGATCTGTATTTCATCAATGAACATGGTTAAAAATGTATACAATATTTCAGGTGTAATCTCACTTGTGCCACATTTTTAAATATTAACTACTCCTAATCTCAAGCCTTTTCTGATATGTTCCATGATTACACACAATGTTTTCAGAAAAGCATCTTTTTAAGGCTGGTTTCTAGCTACCTACAATGAACAGGTACAGTCAGGGTTTTCTCAAAAATTTTCAGCAGTAGAACTTCTACTCTGGAGTAGAAATCCCTGGTTTTGGCCATCAACTGTGAAACTTTTTATTTAACATTTTATTCCATTCCTATATTGCCATTGTCAGTTTCATTCATCTTCTTTTCCCTCTACGATATCCAGGGTCTCCTCTACTTAATCATTCCATCCAACTTTGTGCCTCTGCTTTTATTTCAAAAAATGAAGTTGGAACGTCATGCACAATATATTTAGAAATCTAATAAGAGTTACAAAAATTAAAGAGAGAGACTGGTGCCTAGGTGAGAAACTCCAAATAGACGGATCTTAACTATTGGCTTCATGAAAGCTTGGAGTGCTTTCCAAAAGAAAGCAATCTTAGAGAAAAGCATGGAGAAAGTCTTAGAATCACAACTTAATGTAAACTGGAAGGAAACTCTGGAGCTCATCTGGTCCAGTTCTCTGCACTAAAAGAAGGATTAAATTCGAAGTTTGTTGGTGTTGCTCAGGTCTCATCAAGTGGAGTTTTGGATGGAAAACTTCAAGGAAGGTGTTTCCACAGCCTCCCTTGGCACCTAGTCCCGTACCTGACCACTCTCACAGCAAATAGTGCGTACACATAGACCTATATGGTTGTATAACCGGACTCTCCTTTGCTGTATCTTGTGCCTACCGCCTCTTACCTTTTTACTGTGCATCGCCTGTGCGCAGTGGAGAGGCTGATGCTGTCTTCCGTAAAAGCACCCATTAGATAGCTGACAAAAACAGTAAGATCCATCATTCACTCAACTTGATTCAGTTTATTCATGTCTGTCTTGTTCTGGAGAGCCTCAAACCAGACATAACATTCCAAATGCATCCTGACAATAACTGAATAGAGAGGAAAAAAACCACTTTTCCAGATCTCCCAGTCTTTAATAAACTGTGGCTTAATGTCTTCATTTAAGCCTATGACTAGGGCTAAACTATAACAGTTATTCTATCACCTGATCCCTCCCCAGCTGAGAAAGAAAAGAAAACCTATACGATGAAATGAGAACAGATTTAACGAAAAACTAAAATTAACACTAATATAAATGGCAATATAAAGTTTACAAAGTTAGGGCATATGGGAGAACATCTTCAAGAGCAGAATGATAGGTCTTTTAGGGTTTGTAACCCTTGAGATGAGTAGCAGAAAAAGGAGTAAAAAGGAACACCCATCATCAGTGGGCTTCCCCTTTTATAATGAGGAAAATGTTTACAGGACGGGAGGGGATGAGATACACCTGTAGCCAGTCTGAGCTTTTGTCTCTCTCAGCTTAATCTGCTGGCTAATTTGAAGCTGCTAACGGCCTGCACACCACGGCTGGTCTCTGATCCCATCCCAGCAAAACCAGGACACTTAATATGCAGTTAGCTTTTCAGGCTCAAAGTTGCATTACTGTCTATGTTTAACTTACTGTCCACTAGGACCAAATGGTCCTTTTGTGCCAAGATGTTTTCTCTGTATCTGATTCATTCTATCCCAGGTACAGGGCTTTGCATTTTCCTTTACTGACCTCTGTGAGTTACTCTCAGCCTGTCTCTCCATCCTCACCGAACCTCCTCCGCCATTTTGTCTTCCAGCACATGAACTACTCTCCTTTCCTCAGTTTGGACTTGGACATGGACTTGCTAGGAGCATTTCCAGTCCTATTTTCCAAATCATTAACTGACTGTTACCAGCCCCAGTACTGACTGCTGAGGACCATCAGCCACCAGCTGCTGGGCTTTGAACTGCTGACCACAATTTCAGATCTTCTAGTTTTCTGCCTACCTACAGTGGGTAGAATATACCTCACCTGTTTGGCTACCAGCATAATAAGGGAGATTGTGCTAAAGGTCTTGCTAAAGTCCCAGTAAACAGTATGTACTCCTCTGCCTTTGTCCGGCAGAACCATCACTCCACTGTAGAAGGCCACAAGCTTGGTCAGGCCTTGATTTGCCATTGATAAACCCATGCTGGCTGTTCCTAGTCACCAGCCCATTGTGTGCCTAATAAGGGCTTCAAGGATAACTTGTTCCATAATCTTCCATAAGCCTCTCTTGGTATTTTGATTCCTTTTATTTGTAACTTTTTGTACTGACCTATTTTAAACTTCCATGACTAAGTGATCAATACTCTGATCAACAAGAGCTTCATTCATTGTTGCAGAGAAAAAAATATGGTGTTACATTAAGAGTGCATCCATCAGGTTTAGGTGAATTAAAAAAAATCCAACACTGCCACTCCTCGCAATTTTTCTAAAAGTCAAACATAACCTCAAAATCAGACCACAGAATCACATAATCCATCACAGAATTACAGAATAGCAGAATCGCAGAATGTTAGAGGTTGGAAGGGACCTCTAGAGATCATCTGGTCCAACCCACCTGCCAGAGCAGGATCACCTAAAGTAGGTCACAGAGGAACACATCTGGGCAGGTTTTGAATGTCTCTGGAGAAGGAGACTCCACAACATCTCTGGGCAGCCTGTTCCCGTGCTCCATCAGATGATCATGTAGTTAGCATTAACTACAAGGAAGAGATCAAAATTGGTGGTCCTGCAATAGATGTGGGCCTCTTCTTCTCAGAGGCAGGGATTTTTCATGTTGTGGCATAAAGCATCAACCATCCACTTCCAGCAGGTTTCTTATACCATAATCAACATTTTCTACTCACAAGACAGGCATCTTGGCCCTTGTCTGTTGCTCTTTATTGCAGGATAACATCCTGTACTTCTGCTAATCTGTATGGTTACTGATGTCCCATCCAGGGTACATACACACAAACACCTGTGTCCTCATCCTTCTTCAAAGGTTTATCACAAGCCCCACAATTATGCTCTGATTATGTCAGGATAATTATTCCCTCTTCTTATACAACATTTTTTGATTGAGTCCCGTGTTCTCAAGGCTTCGTTTTCAGGTTGTTTTCAGATGCATTATCAGACCTACCCAAGGGCTTTTTTGCCTTTTGATCCTAAAACTATGAAAAGCATGAAGCCAAATGTACTCTGTCATTTGGAAGTAATAGAATGTGTACCACTTTTTTTCTCGTATAGTAAAAAGGGGAAGAGTATCCATTTGGTTCCCTCATTCAGACACATGAGTACACAACAATTTCTCCTCAATTTTTTTCTAGTCCTGTATATACCATTAATTTATAACTTTTCAGGAATTAAAATATCTTGTGTACTTTGCTTTCTGTATGGCTGAGAAGAATTTTTCTATATTCAGACTGCTGTTGCCCAAGCTGGCTGTGGAAGCAGTCACACTCAAAATTAGCTTTTTGAACGAAGAACTGTTGACCAAATGGGAAACAGTAAACTACTGAAGTGAAATCAAAGACTATGGCCTCACAACTGAAAAAAGACATATATCCTCCTTTTTCTCATCCAAGCCCTCCCCTATGACTGTAACTTACACTCATGGGAAAAAATCGGATTATGATAGTAACAATCTCCTTAATAAGAACACTGAGCTATCAGTAATTGCTGATTACTCCTGAGGATAAAAACAATCCTTACGAAAGCCACACTTAAGAATCACCTTT